CGATCGATAAATCACAGGGTGCGGGACACCTCAGCACGACCACACCCCCAGCATGACCACACCCCAGCACGACCACCCCCAGCACGACCACCCCCAGCACGACCACACCCCAGCACGACCCACACCCAGCACGACCACACCCAGCACGACCACCCCCCAGCATCACGACCACACCCCAGCACGACCGATTGGATAAATCACAGGGTGCGGAGCACCCCAGCACGAACCCACCCCAAGCACGACCACCCCAGCACGACCCCACCCAGCACGACCACCCGCCCCAGCACGACCACACCCCAGCACGACCACACCCAGCACGACCACACCCACCCCAGCACGACCCCACCCTAGCACGACCACACCCCAGCACGACCACACCCCAGCACGACCCCACCCCAGCATGACCACACCCCAGCACGACCCCACCCCAGCAAGACCACACCCCAGCACGACCACACCCCAGCACGACCTTACCACAGCACGACCCCACCCCAGCACGCACGCCCCAGCACGACAACGCCCCAGCACGACCACGCCCCAGCACGACCACGCCCCAGCACGACCACGCCCCAGCACGACCACGCCCCAGCACGACCACCCCCCAGCACGACCACCCCCCCAGCACGACCACCCCCCAGCACGACCACCCCCCAGCACGACCACACCCCAGCACGACCACTCCCCAGCACGACCACACCGCCTTGGTTGAGTGGTTGCCTGTCGTCGTGGAATGTTTCGTGGGGTGTCTCGTGGAATGTTTCGCGGGGTGTCTCGTGAAATGTTTCGTGAGGTGTCTCGTGGAATGTTTCGTGAGGTGTCTCGTGGGCTGTTTCGTGAGGTGTCTCGTGGGATGTTTCGTGAGGTGTTGCCCAGTTGGGTATCATGAAAACGTGTCCATGCTCCACATGTCTATATCCCTTTCCGGGTTCGTGGGTCCATCATGTTCTCAGCGCTGTAGTGGGAATATTGAACACAAGAGAAAAGCGGAACAAACCGGACCGCTGGGGACGTCCCCGCGACCGCCTTGACGCTCCGCGCGCAGGGGCGGAATCCTTAGCGCTCCGCGCGTAGGGGCGGAATCCTACGCGTCACCCTCGAAACCGCATGAGACACACCATTTGTAAGTTGGAAATTCTGGGAGCCAAAAATAAAGCCAGTCAGCCTCATAATAGCAACGGGTGACACGCGTCACCCCCGAAACCGCGTGAGAATAAACCAATTTTGAATATAGGATTCTGGGAGCCAACGTGAGGCCATTCAACGTCACCAAAAACCATGGGTGGCACGTGTCGCCCCCCAAAACCGTCAGAGAGAAACGAAGTGTACATCTACATTTGGGATTATGGGAGCAATCATAGGGACATTCATTTTCAAAAACAACAGCGGGCGACACGTGTGACCCCCGAAACCGTGAGAAAAACCGATTGAAACCGATTGTAAATGTGGGACTCTGGGAGACAGCATAAAGCCATTCAGCACCACAGAACACAACGGGTGGCTTATGTTGGCTCCCAGAATCCCAAATTTACAAATGTTTGTTCTGTACAAGCTGACACATGTATACACGTATAGACATACAGACATACATGTGTGCATTTATCAATCGCATCGTTCGGTCCCCGTGGACTGTTTGCAAGGTGGGACAGTTAAAGACATAGTTCTTTGGCTGCGAATTAATGGCAGTCGGGATCCGGGAGGGAGGGGGAGGGGGGAGGGTCGTCATCTTCTAAACAGATTTAAGAATTACCCAGATCTCCCGCCCGAGGAGGTCTTGACAACACCTCTTCCGAGGCACTTCACTTCAACATCTCCAGCCCAGGGCGCACATCGCCCTCGCAATCGCCCTGCCGACGCCATGCTTCTTGGTATCTCCACGCCCGGGTGGCCTAAAACCGCTGGGACAGTCGCCCCAACTTCTGGGAGATCCTCTGGCGCCCCTTGGAAAGCCTCCAGAACGCCTTGGACAGCTCCCACAGCCTCTCCGAGGAGCTTCAGAGCCCCTGTGGGGAACCTGGCGGTCCCTGGGAGACGCTTCGAAGCTGAGCTGGAGGGCTCTGTGGCCACTCGAAGGGGGCCTCGGGGCATTTTTGAAGAAGGCCTGGATCGGGGGAGCCTCTGGCCCTCGGGAAAAGGAAGGAGGGGAGGGAGCAGGAGGAGGGGAGGGAGGACGGAGGAGGGACGACGAGGACGAGCACGAGGACGAGGGCGAGGACGGACGACGACGACGACGACGACGACGACGACGACGACGACGACGACGACGACGACGACGACGACGACGACGACGACGACGACGACGACGACGACGACGACGACGACCGTGTCGCCGCCTCGGGCTCCCGCGCGCCGAGGCGAGAGCGTCAGGTCCTGAGCAAAAAGCAAGGATGCATCGAGCTGGAGCGCCGGTTTGGTTGGAAGGCTGGCTGTCGGCGGCGAGCAGGGGCATGGCATCGGTTCCAAGCAGAATAGGAGGAGATGTCGAGCCGGAGCGTTGTGGTTGTTGGGGGGCCCGTTTCGGCGCAACCCCGCGACGCCTGAGCGTGAGCCTAATTCCAAAGGGAATGAATCGGGCGCCGAGGCGAGAGTTCCAGGGCGGATGTAGGGCATCCAACAATAAGAATCTTGTATGCTGAAAATTCACCGGGGACTAAGAAAGCTTCAGGGCCTCTGGGAATCTGGAACAAAAACGGGGGAAGTATCGAGCGGGACCGTCGTTGTTTGCAGGGGGAGGGGGGGGGGCGCTTGCGGCGCCCAGGCGGGAGCGCCAGCCCTGAGTACAAAAGCAAGGATGTATCGAACGGGACCGCCGGTTCTGCTCGAGAAAGCAGGCCTTCGGCGGCGGGCAAGGGCACCAGTCCCGAGCAGAAGGACGGAGCGCTTCGAGCGGGGCCGTCGTTGCTGCTGGACGGGGGGCGGCACTGCGGCGGTCCCCCGAGGCGCCCGAGCGTGAGCCTCGCTTCCAGAGGAAGTGCAGCCGGCGCCGAGGCGGCAACGCCACGGCGCGTGTAGGGCTTCCAACGATAACTGCCGCTGCACGGTTAACTAAGCTTCGTCGTTTCAAGACTGTTCGTTCTTATCTGCTCGCCTGTCACTCACCATGCATATCCCCAACCCTCGTCATGACCCACCCTTTTTTTGTCCTCGATCATACCCTTTTGGGAGTAGGCCTTCTTTACCTGCAACGTGCAGTTGGCGCATGTTCGACAAAAGGCAGGGAGAAGGGGGGCGGAGGGAAGGGACAATGGGGAGGGAGAAGGATGGAACACGAGAAAGATTAGAGGGGGCGGGTCGGAGCAAGAAAACAAACGACAAAACTAGATGGGCGGGTCTGGGGGGCTGACCCAATCGGCTGGGTCGAACGGGCGGGTCGCTGAAGCATCAGTCCTGCCTGAATCGCGATTCCCAAATAAATCGTGAGGAACTCCAGTGAACGTGATTCCTGAATGTCGAAGGCGTGGCATGCAAAAAAATTGCGAGGGCGCCCTTCGCGAAAGCGCGATTCGTGTGTACATTGTGATGAACTCCCGGGTGAGATCGGGTGAGAGCGCGATTCCTGTACACAAATTGTGAGGAAATAACAAGCGAGAGCCGCAGCTATTGAAAACTGGGGACCACAGGCGAGGCACACTCTTAAGCACAATAATTTCCCCTGTAGCACACCGGATGCGAGCCGAGCCCCAAGAAGGGAACTTCAACTGCAAAATCCCACAGTATGTTACCCAGCGTGGGCGGGATCTGGGGTTACTTTCGGGCTGCGCCCTTGCGCCTTTCGCCGCGAAGGCCGCAGCCCTGCTCCCTTGCGCCCTGTGCGCCCTTGCCACTATGGGCGCAACCCTGCTCCCTTGCTACCCTCCCCGGCGCCCTGGCGCCCTCGATCGCCAGTGCGTAATGACCCCCCTTCCGTTCCGTTTCCTCCTCTTCCTCCTCCTCCTCCTCCCCCTCCTTCTCCTCCCCCTCCTCCTCCTCCCTCCTCCTCCTCCTCCTCCTCCTCCTCCTCCTCCTCCTCCTCCTCCTCCTCCTCCTCCTCCTCCCGCTGGTTCCTCCTCACTCCTCCTCCCTCTCGCTCCTGGCTCTTCGCCCCGCCCCATCCCTCTCTTCGCGCTCCTTCCCCAGCCGCGCCCCTTCTCCCCCTTCCGCCCGATGCTCCCCACTGTCATCCTGCTCCTCCCCTGTCCTCCTCCTGTTCATTTTCATGGCGGCGGCCCGAGTCTGGACGAGCCACGAGCGCCACGAGCAGCCTGGCTGGGCTCGCCAACGGCGGCGATCCCGCGCCACATCTCACCGCCTAACCGAAGCAGCGCCTGGCTATTGGGACCTCCGCGGCCACGGCGCCGGCGCGCGGCCGGGGCGAGCTCGGGAAACAACGAAGCACGTTTTGCAAGTCCACGCAGAACCCACCCGTGACCAGGCACGGGGAAGAACTTGCGAGGCGGGGGCTTATCCAGATCCACCGCCTGGGAGCCGACGCCCTGGTGCCCTAGCGGGCGGCGGAGATGGATATGTTTCGGCCCCGCGGGGCCCGAATATGTTCACACCCACGGCCTGCCGAGGCTCCGAGAACTGACCCTCCAGGCGGTGGTCATGAGTAAATTCCCGCCTCGGAGAACTGGTCTCCTGCCGAGGGCCGTCCCTCGCCGTCTGACCGCATACAAGAAGGGCCTCACTGCAGCAGCGGCGGCCGCTCTGGCAGGACCCTTCGGAACCCCCTGCCTGGCCACGCCCTGGCGCCTCGCCTCGGTCGCCGGGCTGGTTCTTCTGGGTCCTTGGACCCCGGGCTGCCCTGGGATGCTGGGGAGCCCGGGGGCCAAGGATTGTGTGGCAATCCCGGGGCCCATGGATGGCCCCGAAAACCCGAGAACGGCAACACGATCCATTTTCCATAAGTCCCGCTCCAGTAGTGTAGCACCTTCTCGCCCACCTCGTTGCAAGCGCTCCGACGCTCTCCTGGCATCGGAAGCAGCGCTCGCCCCACGTCGTCCCGCCGCTGGGACTGGTCCCGCCTCTGTCCCCGCCTCTGCTCGCGTCGGGTGAATCCTCGGGTCGGGCCTGCCGGCGCTTGAAACAGCGGTCCTTGGTCCAAGTCTTGAACACCATCTCCCCGCAGCGAGGACAGTCCCAGTCTCCGTCTCGCCTCCTCGCGCCGCGAGTGCAGCGCCGACGCTGGCCCTGCTGGCCCTGGCGCACGCCGTCCCGCTCGCCCTCGGCGAGCCTGGGCTGGTCGCGGTGGACCTCCTCGAGATCGTCGGCGGCGCCAGTCAACCAGCACTTCCCGAAGGGCGCTGGATGCGGCTGCGGCCCCTCTGGCCGCGGCTGCGAGACCGCGGCCTGGCGCCAGGCTTGCTTCGCGGTGTCCCCGGCGCCGGGGAGCGGGGCATTGAAGGCGCTGTGCACGGCCTATTTGTACAAGCGCTGAAGGCGCTGCACACGGTCCATAGCCTTGCCCAGGAAATTGCCGCGCGCCGCCTTCAGCATTGAACGCAAAGCACCAGCTGGCGGCACCGCCATCACGGCGGCAACCGCCGCCAGAGCCGAACTGCAAATATAAAGCGTGGTAGCGTTCAGACTAAAGATCCTGTGATGGACAGGCAGCTCGCCGCAGAAATTCTGGACAGCGAACGTCAGGAAGGTCGCTGTCATGTAGACCGGTGCTCTCCTGGGCGGCTGGCGGACGCAGATGCCGGGGAACGATCGCCCTCATACCTCCCGAGAACAGCGCCAAGGGCGCGCGTCAAACGGGCGCGGGAAGCAGCGGACTTGCGGACAATCGAGCGTCAATCGAGGACACAGCGGGCTTGCGCAACTCGGTCGGTTCTTTGTGGCGCGCCGCGCGGTCTGCCCACGGCAACGCTGGCGGCCACGTGGCCCCGCAGAGCCTGAGGATGGATTTCGGCCACGCTGCCGCAAAGCTGCGTCGTCTCTGCGGAACCCCGCGGCACCGCAACGTGCGCGGCCCACTGGTTGGCCAGGCCGTGCGCGGATGCGAAAGCACTGCTCGAAGTTGCGCGCCAGGCTTCCGGAGGCGCGCCGCTGGAAATAGACGCTTGTGCCCCTGCTGGTCTCGTCTAGCCTGGGCGTGACGCAACTGCGCACCTCCGCCAAGGATCGCGCGTCCACCGTCCGCGCGTCGCGCAGGCGCGCGGCCCAGCCATCTCCGTCCCTGCGAAGAGGCACGACGTCGGCGCGCGGGACGCGCCGCGCAAGCTTGTCACACCGCGAGGACGAAGACATTCTCACCGAGAAGCCGCGGATAATCACCAGCAGCCTGCTTCTGGGACGGCGACGCCGTCACGCCGACGGCTTTAGGGCAGAGGAGCGAGCACTGCAGCAACTTCTGTACTGAAGGTCTTCGGCGGTTCTCCCTGTAGCCACGACGCGGCGGCGTCTCCCAAATGGCCCGCGGCATGCCGGGGACTGCGCGGCGGGCCGCTGGCCTTTTTTTGTGCCCAGACAAAATACCTGTGCGACACAGCCCGAAGTGCCTGCATGAATCCACATGCAGTCGGACCTCGCAACATGAACGGCGGCACAGACCTGCCCCAAGCGTCACATCTGCGCCGCCGTTGCGAGGTGCCTCCAGATGCCACCCCGAGACACGGCCACCGGCACCACCCCCACTTGACCGCTGGCCTCAAGCAGCGGAGACCCCGCTGCCCAAGGACTTAAGTTCCCGTGCGCCCCACGTCGGGGGACCCCTTCGAATAACCCCATCGGGCCTCTCAGGGGTGGTAGCGGCGCACTCGCAGGATCAACGGCGGAACCGCGGCCCGGCGGAGCCCGAACGTCAACAGCGGGGTGTCCACGCTGTGGACGAACGCCCCGGCTGCGGCGGGGTGGCCGTGGCTCTCCGCGCGCCCGCGTCTGATCGACGCCTGCGCGGCGACCTGACGGCCAACGGCGCATGGACAGATGGGCGGCGAGGCCGCCGCGGGGACGGCCAGGGGGCGGCCTCCGCTGGCCCTCCAGCGAAGCACGGATCCCACGGCACCTCCTGCTCGACCTGGGCCCCCCCTGGGCGGAGGTATGGGGTCCCACACAGCCAGCTGCTGGCGCGCCCCGGGGTCTCCGGCTGCGGTCCGCCACGTGTGGAGCCGAAGCGGCCAGGGGTGCTGGTGGTGGCGGTGATGGCGGGAGTTCCTTGTCGGTCCTCTGAACCCCTTCCACTCATCACACATCGTCCTCCTTCTTCCTCCTCCCCAATACTCTCATCCGCTCCTCCTCCCACTTCTCCTCACTCCTCATCCCTCCTCCTCCTTCCTCATCCTGCTCATGCGTCCTCCGCAGTCGCTGGCGGACCCCAACCTGGAGCTCTCGAAGGGCGGGGCGTTGTTTCAAAATGATTGTTCCTGATCCGCCCCCCGCCTCCCTCATCTCTTCGCCCTCTCCTTCTTGTGCCCCTCATCTCGGGGGGGGAAGTCCCGAGAGGATAAGGCGAAAGCAATGCTGACCAGCGTGGACCCCAAACCTTGCAGCCTTGCAGCCTTGCACCTTGCGCCCTTGCACCCTTGCACACTTGCGCCTTTGCGCCCTTGCGCCCTTCGTCCATGCACCATTGCGCCCTTGCGCGTTCAGCCGCAATGGCGCATTGAGGAGGAGAAGGGTGAGGAGGAGGAGGAGGAGGAGGAGGAGGAGGAGGAGGAGGAGGAGGAGCCAAGAGTGGGGAGGAAACCCTTGCACCCTTACACCCTTGCACCCCCACACCCTTGCACACTTACCCCCTTGTACCCTTGCGCCTTCACACCCTTACCCTCTAACGCCCTTGCACCTTCATCCTCCTGGGGCGGTGGGGGGGCCAGGGAGCTGGGGCGCAAGGGAGCAAGGGAGCAGGGCTGCGCCCATAGCGGCAAGGGCGCAAGGGAGCAAGGGAGCAAACAATACTTACACTGACCCGTATCCCTCCTGAAATGATGTTACCAGAGGGGGGAGGAATCAACCATATTTGCTTTTTAAGATGTGAGGGTTCAACAATGATATGAAACTGTTCGCTCGTATCTGGTCGCGTACCATGTAGCATGTATGCCCCAAACCCTCGATACCCACCCTCTTCGTGATCGATCGTACCACCCTTTGGGGCATATCTTCTTTACCTGCCACGTGGTCGAAAATCGGCGTCGGGAATTAAAAGGTGGCATGGACATCGTATCGGATCGGACCAGAACCCCAGGCGTGCCTTGCGAATGGCCTCATCGCGAATGGCCTCCTCCATGCGCTGGGCCTCCGCCTTGCGCTCGGCCTCCGCCTTGCGCTCGGCCTCCGCCTCGCGCCCAGCCCAATCGGATAAAAAAGTCGAGGCCAGATCCACGAAAAAATTAAATCGGAGAGAATCGGATCGGTTCTCGCCGCGCTCGATCGGAAGCGAATCCCGCCCGCCTTGTGGCCCAGAGCAGGAAACACTACATCGGGTTCGAAATTGAAATTTGCTGATGAAGAGGAGGAGGACGAGGAGGAGGAGGAGGAAGAAGAGGAGAAAGAAGAGGACACGGAGGACGAGAAGAAGGACGACGAGGTATGTCTGCCGCTTGAGCGACGGTCCCGAAGCGTGCGCGGCCACCCCCCTGAGGGCGCTCCTCCTCGTCCTCCTCCTGACTAGCTCCACCTCGGCCACTGGTGTCTGGCTTCGGCTATTCCAAGTATTTCACGGTCAGGTCGGGCATGCCCTCCTGCAGGAGTACTTTGGAAGAACATTCTGCACGCGGTGGGGGCATTGGCTGAGGAACCATTGGATGAGGAATCCAGGGCCTGTGGGGTGTGCAGTCCCGACGCGCTTTCGCAAGTCGGAAGATCTGAGGGGGCCCCAGGACACACAAATAAATACACACAAATAAAAATATTCCCCTATATTTTCCCATATTTTCTGGGTTTCTGTCTTCCCCCCAACTTCCCATACTTTCCCATATTTTCTGGGGAATCGAGAATTCATTGTGTCTGTGTGTTTTTTCCTCTCCTGAAGATCACCCAATAAAGCACGGCGGCTCCGGCCTCAGAGCGGGACCGTCTCGAAGCCACCCGGGATCAAAGAGACTGGTCCCGGAGAAGCGGTCCAGTCCAGACCTCCGAGGGTCGACGCCGTGGAACAAGGAATACATCGGACGTGTCCCTCTACGGGAGGAATGTACGAACAAAAATCCAGACACGGTCTGGGGACGACTTTCCTTTCACTACTTGCGGCTATTTTTGAGAAATCCTTCTTTTTCGCCTGCGAGAAATCTATGTTTGAGAAATCTATGTTTGAGAAATCCTTCTTTTTTGCTACTTGTCTTATTTTTGAGAATCTGTATATTCCTTCTACCTATCAAATTACAAGGAAAAACCCGGCATGTCACCGACCCCCCCCCCACACATGGACCCCACATGAACCCCACAGGCCCCCAAGAGAGCCCCACAACGCTTCGAGGCGGCCCAAAATACCCCAAAGAGAGCGACACGTGGCCTACATCGGGAGCCCAAGACAGCAGAAGGCACTTCCGAGACGTCCTCTGCAAGGCCCAAGAGGCCCCAAGACGGCCCCAGAGTGCCCCAACAGGACCAAACATGGGCTCAAAACGGCCCAGGATGCCCCCGCAAAGACCTCCAATACGGCCTCAACAGGCAAAAAAATTTAATTTTCCATTGGTTTTTGAACGACTCTGTGCTTCTCGCCTTTTCTGGCCACGAACGGCCCAAGAATGGTCTGCGAGCTTCCGAGGTCGCCCCGAGATGGCCTCCAGGCGGCCCAATGGGGCCCCAAGATGGGCCAATAAAGCGCCAAGAAAGCCAGGGAGCGCCCAAAAGACCCCTAAAAGACCTCCAAGAGGGCCCCAACAGAGCCACGGGATGCTTCAGAGAGGGCCCGAGAGAGCCCCAACACGGCCCCAGGACGGCCCAAGCCCCCCCAGACAGCCCACGAGGGCCCCAGGACAGCCCAAGAAGGCCCTCCGATGGTATACAAAAGCACCAACAGGAGCTCCACTCAGTCTTAGAGCCGTCAAATTCATTACACTCTGATTGACCTGAGCCGTCGTCCTTGGCTCGGCTGGCCCGCGCGCCGAATGGGCCCGCGTGGCAGAGAAGGAAAAGGAGCAGGAGGCGGGACGGAGGAGAAAAAGGAGGAAGAGGAAGGAACGGTGAGGATTGCGAGAAACAGGAGGGGGCCCAGGAAGACGGAAGGAGGGCACGGAGGAGCAGGAGGAGGGGAGGGCAAACGGCGGAAACAGAAGACAGCTTTCACTGGGCCCCGTGATCTCGCCGAGGCGCCGGCCACATCTCTCATTCAATATCGTGTTGCCGCTTCGCTCGCGGGACTCCCAGCCTCTACCAGGTCAGCATCCCGTCCTCCAGCATGCGGCCGCCGACTTTCCTCTCAATTCTTGACGCTTCGCGTATCCCCCACCAGAGGCACAGTGTCTTGCTGTCCGTTCAGGCCTCGCTTACGGTGGCGGTTCGGCTGGAGCTTGGCGCCGCACGGGCGACTTCTCCTCCCGCCCCCTCGAATTCAGTTCATTTTGTTCCGTGCACATGCACCTGCGTGCTTCCTCGCAGGAACGAATTTCGCCCGCCACTGCGGCGGCAATCTTCTCGTTAATTCGTGGGTACCGCGCCCCGGACTTACTTGCCCGCTCCCTGTCCGCCGCCTCGGGGCCGCCAACCAAAAAAGTATCCCCACCAGCCCGTCCAGAATTGATTGCCAGCTTTCCCGAGGCCTGTTGGAGGCTATCCTGAGCCATGCTCGGCTAGAGGCTGTCGGAAGCTATTCTGAGCCATGCTCGGCTATGTCGGGCCATATTCAGGCTGTCTTGAGGCCTCTTGGAGATCTGTCGGAGGCTATCTTGAGCCATGCCTGGCTATCTTGAGCCATTTTGGAGACCATCTTGGGCTATCTGGGGCCCTCTTGTAGCCATCTTGGGCCAAAAAGGGCGGGGTGGAGAATCTTCAGGAGAGGCTGGGAGGCCCCTCGGGGCCGTCTTGGGCCCCATTGTTCAAAAAGAGCGGGGGTCCTCAATTCAGGTCCCCCCCTCGGAGGCTCTCAAACGGCGTCTTGGGGACGTGTTGGAGCGCTCTTTGGAAGCCTCTTGGGCGATCTTGGGGCCGTCTTGGGCCTTCTTGGGCCCCTCTTGGGGCTCTCTTGGGCCATCTTGGGGCCATCCTGATGCCTCAGAGGCCCATCGGAAGCGAAAAGACGAGAATGCCAAACACTTTGACTTTCTTTAAGCTTTTGAGGGGTTTTGGCTTCTTGGAGGGCGCCGTGGAGGGCTCGAAGGGCACTTGAATCCGTCTTGAGGACTCTTGGAGGTGTGTCGGAGGCTATCTTGACCCATCTTGAGGTATCTTGGGCCATCTTGGAGGCCATCTTGCGACTTGGAGCGCCTCTTGGAGCCATCTTGAGCCATCTTGGACGCTCTAATGCCTCCATCCCCCCCACCTCCAGGTCCAGGGGAAGGTTACCCCTCCCCCGAGCAGGGGAAGGAAGGGGAAGAGAGAAGACCAAACTCGTTATACCACCGTAGCCCTAAAGGGCTGGCTGGTGGGACTTCCACCTGTAGACTTCCAGCCTCCATCAGCTCAGCACTCCGACCTCTAGCGTCCGGCATCCGACTTTCCACCTTCACCTCCACTCAAGCGTCCACCAACGCTGCGCCCTGAGCCCCGCCCCGGGCGCTACCGCGCACTCGCCTCGCCTCGCCTCCGCTCGCACAATTCCCACACACCTCATTGAACAATTGTGTTCTCGCCCGCGCCCAGAAACATCGTAGGTGCAAGGATCAAGATTAGAAGGCGAAGCGCAGCGAGCCTTAAAATCTTGTTTTGTCTATGGTTTGAGAAATCCTTCTTTGAGATATCCTTATTTTTACTACTTTGTTTTTATTTTTGAGGAATCCTTGCGTCTTTTTTCTTCTTCGCCCGCCATCCGCCTGCAGGAGGACATGCCCGACCCAAAGCAGAGATCACGGCGTCGAGAAGCTCTGGGCGTGCGCGGCCCGCCCGCGCCCGTGGGCCGCAGGGTCTCCCGTGGCGGCCGACACAGAGGCCCAGCGTTGGGTCGGGCCTGTCCCCCGACAGGCGGATCTCGGGCGGAAAAGGGCAAGTACCCCAGACACATACGCCAGACATCCTCAAACATAATCCACAGATCGTCCCCAGAGCCTCTCTGGACCACCTTCGAATCTCCCTCCTGCGGACGGGGAAGGCCCGACTCAAGCCCGGCGGGCCAGCCGCTCGGGGCCGCGTGCGCGAAAAGGAGGACCGAGCAGGGGGCAGCCGCCGCAGCGCTCCTATATAGTCTACTCCTCCTAGATGGGGTCGGAGCAGATGGGGTCTGAGGCTCGCCGACGCATCGCCGATGCATCGGCGATGGGGCTCGACGCGGAGCCCGATCTTCTCCGCGCTGGCGTCGCCGGTGCATCGCCGACGTCGCAGGTGCATCGGCGATGCATCGGTGATGCATAGTAGCCGACGCGGCGCGATCCTCCGGAGCCATCTACTCGGGCCCATCTAGGAGGCCTCTCTGGCAGGCCGACCACGACATGGTCCTAGAACGAAATAACGTTCGAAGAGCAGAAGCAGATTTCTGACGACATGATACTTACAGGAGTTGTAGTTCATCGTCGGTGTGCCCGTCGTGGGGAGCATGAAGGAGCCATGTTTCATAGAGCGTGGAGCCGTTCCTGCAACCAAGGGGCCCTTGCCAACGAGCACTCAGACTCTCGCCTACGAAATGTGTTTCAAATACCAGGCGACGGACTGATTGTGGCTTCGACGGCTGATTCTTACTGAATAGGTTCGCGTGTCTCCACCCACTTCAGAAGAGGAACGGTACGTGTGAGGAGTGTAGCACCACGAGCTGGTGCGAGTGCTCGGGATCAGGCACAGCACGTTCGCCCATCTACCTTTTTCGGTTGCCAGTGGCAAAGGTACAACCGTTCCGTTTGAGCCGTCGGAGGTGCAGACCACGATTTCTGGACGCCTGCCTGGCCCCAGGCAGCGTGCCACAGTGGGACAGCTCAAGGCGCTGCTCCCCGCGCTACAGCGGATTCGGAGCAATGTTGTGTACACCACCGACAGTGGTGCAGTGGCAGATGGTTGGGGACAGAGGCGTTTGAGAGCATTGTGAATTCGCGGCGGTAACGGGCGTTCTGGGAGTGGGGAAGGGGGGGGGGGGGCGGGAGAGGGCACAACGCAACGCCCCCGTCCCCCACCGTGACAGACTATGTTGCCGGGCGCACTGCGGCAGTGCCCGAGACGCACTGGGGGGGGGGAGCGTTACATTATGGGGGAGAAGGGGGGAGTCCAGAATCCAATCGAATCGGAATCGGAATCCATCGAAATCGAATCGAATCGAATCGGAGGAATCGAAACGAGCCCTCAAAGGGGGGGGGGAGGGCGGGGATATGGCGCACGTTATCGTTCAGAGGGTAACAGCGGCACTCTCCATGTGCCCTGAATGTCGGGACGCCGACCGTTTACATCAAATCGGCCAGCAGCGTCTTCATCGAGATCATCCTTCGTTTGTGGTATTGTTCGTGAGCTCGCATACCGAGGCTATTGGGCTCGCCCTCCGTGGTGGATGGTACTGGGCATCGCGGTGCCGGATATAGTAACCAGAGTTGCTGCAGATTGCGGCAGGGCTGGAGAGCAAGATCATATTCGAAAATGCGACCGGGAGAAATGCGTTTCTCGTCCGACTACGTCCTCCCAGAGCTACAGAAAAGAAATGAAGCTCGAGAACCCTGGTCCCAGGACCAAATCTGAGCTAACGCCTCAACCTCATCCCCGTTCTCTGTGCAAGTGTTCATTGCTTGTCACAGCTTCGCTGAATGCGGCCACCATTGCATTAAGTGTCACTTCTCCGCTATCCGCGCTTGCCATGCCCTGGCATGGTGCTCCGACCTTAATACAAATAATCTGCACGGAGTGCGTTTCGTCTTGCCAGCTGGGCAAGAAACTGCACATAGCGGGGGGGCTGGGTGTGCGACAGACACCGAATGCGTCGACATGAGGCCTTAATACTAAGTTTAGCCGCCAATATATGGCATTGTGCGAGCCAGATGCTTCAGAGTCTTGGGCACGTATGCCCCAGGCCCACGAATCCCACCGTAGCCAAACATTCAGATAGGAGTATCTCAAGCCGATGGCCGAAAGTTCGAAGTCGAGCTGAGGCTCGCCCGGTTTCGCGATCCTCGTTTCGACACGCTTCGCGACTGGTGTCGCTCACTCAGGCTCCTTCTCCTCCTCCTCCTCCTCCTCCTCCTCCTCCTCCTCCTCCATCTCCTCCTCCTCCTCCTCCTCCTCCTCCTCCTCCTCCTCATCCTCCTCCTCTCCCTCCTCCTCCTCCCGCTCCTTCCTCCCTCCCAGGCTACTCCTACTCCTGCTGCTCCTCCACCTCCTCCCTCCGTGTCATGCTCCTCTCTATCTCACCTGCCCCCTGCTGCAAGCCCTGGGTGAATCGGAAGCAGAATCGGAATCGATGGGAATCGGGAACATCGGATCGAAACCAGGATCGGCTCTCCCAGATTACATCGACATCGAAAACATCTTCAGAAATGAAAGTCAGATCCGAGTCGGCATCGGGAAGTTGCATCGAAGTCGCATCTGATCGGGACCGGGCATGCCTTACGAGTGGCCTCCAGCCTTGCGATGCGGTCGGCCTCAGCCTTGCGGTCGGCCTCCTCCTTGCGCTCGGCCTCCGCCTTGCGGTCGGCCTCCGCCTTGCGCCAAGCCAAATTGGATCGAACGGTTGAAATCGCAACAAGGGAAAACAAGATCCGAGACGATCGGATCGGTTCGCCATCGGATCGGAATCGGAATCCCGCCCGCTCCTCGGCCCAGAACCGAAACGGAACGCGCTGCATCTTAATCTACGTCGAAAGGCGCTGCAGAGGAAAAATATGTGGAGGAGGAGGAGGAGGAGGAGGATAGGCTAGGATAGGATGGGATGAGAGAGATGGGACCTATCGCGAAGCGAACTAGGCACAAGCATTCGGCTCGGCCCTCGCTGAGGCTTCCTTAATGTTGGGCCATTTGCCCTCGTATGTCCTGTTGAGATAATTGGTACCTGTGGGTGTGGGTGGCAGACAGACCTGCGTGAGAGCAGACTTGCGTGAGAGATCTCATCAGCTGGCTCCCAAAACCCCACAGGATTTACACAACCAAAGCTTCACACCACTGTGGGGAAGCATGCCGTGGGAGGTTTGAGCTGATTCTCGCCAACTTGAACGCCCAATCCCTTCGCCAGCCTTGAACAGAAAACATCCTGAGGGATTAACTGCACACACGGGCTGTTCAACCAGGTGGTATGATGAGCCTGGAACGTGCTCCCGCGACACCTCCGGCAACTTTTCCCTTCGGCGGCCACAGCGCGAACCGAGGAGAAGAGAGCGGCAGAGGCAGGCGCAGCGGGGGGGGCATAGCGCTCCTCCCTCCAGCGAGCTTCCTGGAAACGCCGGCCCGGGCGGCCTCCAAATTGGCACGCAGAGGTCGCCGTCGAACAAGCCTGGCCATGTTCACTGTGACTCGTGCAATCACGGCCTGGGTGCGTCCTCCACTCTCGCCCCCAGAGCAGACGGAGCGGCCAGCTCGTGGGCAACGATGCTGCCTGTCGCCAGCCACTGGGGCTGGGCAATGACGGGTAAACTGTTTTTTTCCAGCGCACATTTTGGGAGGAGAAGGAGGAAAGCTGAGGGGACGATACGCGACGCCGTAATCCAGTCCACTCTGGCTCGAAATCGGCAGCTTGGCAGCGTGGTTGCCACAATCGGTCGTTACGGGTAAAACTGTTCGGCCGGCAGGTGTGGGGGCGTCTGAAGCACACCGACGAGCGAGAAAAATCCACGCTTCGCTGCAACTCGCCGAGGCGCGTTCAGAGAGCACCGCTCTCTCCAGACGACGCGTTAAAATGCTGGAGGGGGCCAGCACACAGTCAGTCACGCAGACCACAGATCCCGTTGACAGCTCGATGGCCACCGTGAGGGCCAAGGGCTCACCCCCCAAGGACTGTCTGAGCTCTCCCAGGGAGGGGCCCGCCCTCTGAAGCTAACTGAAACCCTACGCGGATGGAACCACTGGAGAACCGCAACGCTTACACCGACCCCCCTTGGAATGGGGCCATGTGAGATCGGGGCAACCACCCGCGTCACCAAAATCCAGAAGCGGACATGCACGGGTCCCCCGCCCAACAGTTCCTGGGCCCACGGGCTCCGACGAGCCGCTGCAGAGCCACTGCTCCGAGGATGTAGGCCCGGGGGCCCTTGTCCACGACGCCGGCAAAATGCCGAGAAGCCAGAGCAGGCCCCAGACTCGTGCTGGGCGATCGCCTGGGGGGTTAAGAGGTCGGAGGCCACGAAAGCTTGAGGCTCGGCGCTCCTCCCGCACGCGCCTCCCCGGCGCATGGGCGCCTCAGGAAACTCGCGGCAGCGCGGGCACAGTGAGCAAGCTCGAACGCAGGATCGAATGTGCGCTGCCTGGGCCGGGTGCCACCGACAGCTACCCGCCACCACTTCTGACAGCGGGCGCCCGCGGGAGCGAGACTCGAGGCTCTGCAATGCTGCCTTCCGTGGGGCCCACCGCCGGCCCCCTGCTCCGTGCCCGGGCCGCTGCAACACGTGAAGACGCCGGCGCCCATGGACGGCGCCGGATGGCATCCTCGAACGGTTGGGTTACATATGCAGAGTCCGCGTCTGGGCCCAGATCAGCCCCAGAACTAAACTTAAGTCGGGCGTGTCCCCCCTTACATGGAGATTTTCGACGAAAAATAAAGAAAATGCCCCAGACATAATCAAACATTAATCCAAACATAGTACGGGGACTTTTTTGGGGGGGGTATTTGTTCACCTTTTTGGGGCATTTTTGTGGCATGTTTAGGGTATTGTTAATTTTCCGTCGAAAATCCCCCTGTAGGGGGACAGGCCCGACCTAAAACTAAACCCCACTCTGCAAGCGGGGCTCCCCGGAGGCCCGGCGCCCCCGTCGGCGGCAGGCACGGGGCCCCGCCGGTGCTGCATCGCACGCGGGGCGACTGCAGGCAGGGCTCCCCTGATCAGACTCGAATCAAGGGACCAATGCCTGCAGTCACCTCGTAATCATTAGAGGGCAAAACATGGTGTCCTCGAATCATTAAGAGTAGCCCATGGGGGTGGCTTTTTTGTCCTCTCATCATCAGAGGGCAAAAAATCCACCCCCATAATAACCACCCCGACACGCGAGGCCGTCTACGAAACGCCCCCACCGAAGGAGTCGAGCAGGGCAGGGCCGTTTCGTAAACGCCCAAGGCCGTTTACAGTAAGCGCCAGTTGTCCGGTGCGGGTGGTTCTTCCTCCCTTGACTGACGTGGCGACTACGCCGGGCCTCTGGACTATCGGCTAGCCTAGCGGCTGCCTTGGGCCGCGCCACCTGGACCCCCGCTCTGAGCTTGGGCGCGGCAGGTCAAGGCGACAGCCACTGACGCAAGCATTCACCAGGAAGGCGATCGCCTGGGTCTTGACTGGCGCATCCCAAATCCAATCGCGACGCGGTGCAAAGCCCTCGCTTGGCAGGAGACGCAATGTCGGCGAGCCCGCGTCTCATCTGAACCACGCTACTGCCGAACACGCCGTGGACTTGATGCTCGCACTGCCCTGCTGGTTGCGGCCCCAAGGCCTTGAGGCGCATGGCTGGGTGATATCTGGACGACACTCTAGCAAAACGATCTATCTTACGATGCATGGCAAAACCTTTGAAAACTCTCTTGCGTTGGGTCGTGCGCGCATGCCGACCTGTGCCTGTGCCCAGGCCAAAACAGCTTGCCTGCTGGACTGGACCGACCGCGATTATCCTCCCCTCTCGAGGCAAGATGCCACATGGCGCGCGTCGCGACGGTCCGAGCACAGCACCGCACTTTCGGCTGCGACCTGTAAACCCTCAGCCTCCAACCCCATCGCTCGTGCGCGCCACCCCCTTGGCGAGTCGCTCCCTCGCGGCAGCCCGGGGCCCCAGGACTCGCCGGGAGAGGTCGTCGGCCCAACACCTCATACCGACCACGGGGAGGGCGGCCGTCGGCCCGTCTGAGATGCGGCAGGTCGCGCGGCGAGCGAAACGCGCCCCGCTGCGCAACCCTCGAGTCGCGCGGCCTGCGGGTTGGAACGCCGCGCCCTCGGCGCAAAGCGCAGCTGCTGCTCGAGGAGGAGGGCAGCGGGCGGGAAGCCCAGGGCCGTCGCCGCACGAGCAAGTCGGGCCGACCCGATGCTGTCGCAAAAGCACTGGGCGTCCACGAGCCAGAGGCCGCAGGCCATCCACAGCGCGCAGGAGACCCCCCGTCCCAAGTTGCGTTAAGAACCCCCTCGCAGGGATGAGTTCGCTGCCGGCGCCGCATCCCGGCGCGGCTGGGCGTCCACGGCCCACTGCTTGATCGACGGTGCCCTGGGCGCCGACCAGATGCGAGGGGGCGCCCCCGCCCGGCCGACGACCATGCTCGTCACCATCCGCTAAATCACCACCACCACCGCCATCGTCGTCGTCGACATCATCGCCATCATCGCCATCATCATCATCATCATCATCATCATCATCATCATCATCATCATCATCATCATCATCACCACCATCATCGGCATCATCATCATTATTAGTGCTATCATTGTCATTATCAGTATTATTATCAGTAATAATAATATTATTACTAATAATAGTACCATCAGTGTCATCGGCATCAGCATCAGCAGCAGCGTCAGCATCATCCTCATCAGCATCATCAACATCACAATCGACATCACCAGCAACATCAGCATCCTCACCACCCTCATCATCATCAGCATCATCATGTTCATCATCACCATGATCATGATCATGATCATGATCATGATCATGATCATGATCATCATCACCGTCGTCATCACCATCAACATCACCATCAACATCATCAACAGCATCATCAACACCACCATCACCACCACCATCACCATCGTCACCATCACCATCCTCTTCCTCCTCTTTTTATCCTCTTTCTCCTCCTCTTCCTCCTCCTCCTCCTCCTCATCATCATCATCATCATCATCAACAACATCCTCTTCCTCATCCTCTTCCTCATCCTCTTCCTCATCCTCATACTCCTCCTCCTCGTCCTCCTCCTCCTCATCCGCATCCGCCTTCTCGATTCCCTCCTCATCCACTTTCTCTTCCCCTCCTAATCCTCCTCCTCCTCCTCCTCCTCCTCACGGCTTCCTCCTCGTCCTAACTACCTCTTATCTTTCTCCCTCTCCTCTTCGTCCTGGTTCTACACCTCCGCCTCATCATCCCTGTTGCTCCTTCCCCCTGCTCCTCTTCCTCCCCCTGCTCCTCCCTCCTCCCCACGCTCCTCCAGACCCTCCACCCAGGATCCCCATCCTGCACCCCATCCTGCCCCCATGTCCCCTTCCCATGTGGAGATCGGAATCGGAGCCAGAATCGATGGGAGTTGGAGACATAGCAGAATCGAGCCCAGAATCGGCATCACCAGATCGGATCGACATCGAGATCGGCATGAGAAGATAGGCCCAGATCAGTATCGGGATCGGGAAGGTGGCAACAAAATCACGTCGAATGGGATCGAAAGCAGGCGGGCCTTGCGAATAGCCTCCGCCTTGCGCTCGGCCTCCGCCTTGCGGTCGGCCTCCGCCTTGCGCTTGGCCTCCTTCTTGCGGTCGGCCCCCGCCTTGCGCCACCCCGCATCGGATGTTTTGGAATGATTCAGGATTGTCAGGGCACAACAATTACGTTGATTCGCGGTGTTGAAATCAATGGTCTTCTGGCACGATTCAAGATCATCAGGCCGCAACAGTCAGGTTGACTCGTGGCGTTGAAACCCTGACCTGAGAAGGGTGTTTTGGCACGCGTCATGGTTTTCACACGGTTGTCCCCAACCTGGGCACTTCCCTCAGTGGAAATGAACCCTTGTGGGGGCCTGTGAAAAGGGAGCTTGGAGGGCGGGTGCTTTCCAACATCGTTGATGGGTCTTGGGTTTACACTGGCCTTCTTCTCATTATTATTCCTCCTCCTGCTCATCCTCCTTTCTCTTCCTCTCCCAAAATATTCCCCCCAGGGGGTCCGCAACGGCTGGGGGGAACACATAGTCTAATAGCTTGGCCAGACTTCGGCCCAACAATTGGCCGCATGAGCGTGTCCAAAAGGCTATGTAGGGACAGCGGTGATTCGCCGCAGGCGTTTTTGATAGTTAACTCCTCGCTGTCGCACCACCAGACGTTTCCGCAGAGTGGCCCTCGTTTCGCCTGGGACACCCTCACCCTTTCGTCACCATGACGCTGGACACTCCGAACAGCTACAAGAGTGGAGGGAAGTAACCTTTCCAAATGGGGCTGCCGCTTTAGCGCCGCGCAAGTTAGCCTTGAAACCTAGCAGCCGTTACAACGATCGAGGGCAATACATGTTCAAAGTGGGGCTCTCGCCTCAGCGCCGCGCACACACGTCTCAAAGCTCGCAACAGCGACGAGGATGGAGGGCGGTACGTTTTCAACATGTGACTCCCACCTTGGCACCGCACACATTCGTCATACACTTTGTGTCGCCACAAAGATGGAGAACGGTTCCTTCTCATAGTGGGGAACTAGTTTGAGACTTCCCATACTGTCTGGCCATCAGCTTGAACAGATGTAGCAGCTGCACGATTGGAGGCGACTGCTTAAAAAATGGTTTCTCGCTTGAGAACTCCTTAAACTTAGTCCTCAGACGTGCAGAATGTGTGCAGCAGTTACACGGACGGGGGAGGGCGGATCCTTTTCAAAGCGGGCCTCTCTGCATCGCTCGTCGAACTTCTATGATCCTACACTGTCGCATTCCATCGCGAGAAGGAAACAAAACAATTCCTCTTCAACACGGGATTCTCGCCTGAACAATAGGCCCATGGAATGCTCGTCTTCCCAAGAGAGCGTCCCGCGTAATGAAAAATAATGGCCTGTGCGGACTTCTGAGAAGGGGACTTGGGACGGGAGGGTGTGTTACAACATTGTTGATGCATCCTGGAGTTACTTAAATGGTCCGTTCGACGAAATTCGGGATCATGCGCGGGCACCGGGCGACCACAATGCATGTGCAAAGCGTCTGGCTCGAGCTCAGTAGCATCAAATCGTGTTCATACAAAAAAAGAACAAGCGTTGGCTTGATGCATCCTGGGGTTGCTCTGGTCCTTATCCCTTCTCTTCATCCTCCTCCTCCTCCTCCTCCACCTCCACCTCCTCCTCCTCCCACTCCTCCCACTACTCTCTGCTGCTCCTCCCTCCTTTCCATCACTCAAGCCCCCTTCTGCCCCCCATGGGCACCCTACCACCTGCACCCCCCAACTGGGAGATCGGAAGCAGAACCAGAACGGGTTGGGGGCGAGAACATCGGATGGAAACCAGAATCGGCATCCCCAGATCGCATCGAGACCGAAATCGGCAGCAAGAATGGAACCTGGGTCTGAATCGGGATTGGGGCAGAACGTCAGGATCGGGTCGGGTCCGATCGGAAACTGCCATGCTTGCGATCGGAAGCGATGCGGATCGCCAACAGCATGCCCATCCCAGGCAGCTGGCGGCTCTGCCACGTCCGTCTTGAAATCCCTCTCCGCCTGCTTCATCTTCTCCTGGACATCGCGCTCGGCCCCGCGCTCGGTCTCCGCCCGACGCTCGGCAGCGTATCGAAGAGCTGAGACCGGGTCGACGAAAAACCCGGCCAGGGAGAATCAGCTCGGCTCGCATCGCATCGGAATCGGAATCCCACAGCCCCCATCGGAGCTCGCACCAGGCCCGAATGCCCAAAACCGGACCCAGACGCGCTGCAGAGCAGCACCCGATGGGAGACGTGGTGGCGTTCAGGCAGCAACTCCCGGGAGGTCTTCGTAAGACCTGTTCAAAGCTGAATAGATGGAGCCCATGACTAAGCCCGATTAAAATGAATCAAGCGGGATTTATCGGGACAGAGCCGGACTACGCCGTTTATCTGACCACGGATATGCCAGCGCCGATGCTGAGTCCAACGTCTCAGGAGCTACATCCTACTTAATGGCGGCCCTGCCACGTCCATCTTGGGATCCTGCTTCGGCTGCTTGCTCTTTGCCTGGGCGGGAGTCGCCGAGGCGTTTGCGGATGCACCGCCGCACACCAGGATCAGCTCGTTGTATGCGTTGTCCTCCACCCGCACGAAGTCATTCTGTGCATCGCAGTGGTTCCACCGTGGGTCCAGCTGGCTGGTTGCGCATTTTTTGTGGAACTCTTCCCTGTTTTTGTTCAGAACAGGAAGTGCAGCCAACCACTCCTTTGTCGTAGCGTAGCGCAGTCCAGGGCAGAACGACGAATACGAGGAGAAAGCGTCGATTTGGGAACACCCGCCAGAACACGGAGAAGCCCACAGGAAACAGATGCCGTTGACGTAGTAACAATGATCTTCTACGCGTGCTCCCCGCAAAGCTCGGCGATCAATGCCTGAGGTGTTAGCCGACCAGCAAAGGTTCCAATGTGATGATGGTGAATGCCCCACCATGGTGACATCAGATGGTGGTGTGGCGTACCGGGCTGCTCTGCGGTACCTAGTTTTGGTGACAGCGAAATCACAGTCATATCCCGAGTCGGTGCTACCTACCGGAATCGCCATGGCCGGATCCACCATCACCTTGCAAGTGCCCGTGCCAGAGCCAACAACGCATTCGTCCTCAACGCTGCACGCAACGTCGCCATCTGTGCTAATTCCCTTTAACCATGTGTTGTCACTCTTGCGCCCGAAGCCATCAACGCTTATCTGCATGGCCTGGGAGCCGATGAACGCGAAACTTGCCACCTCGAGATACATGGCCCAGAGCATCCTGAAGGGTTTGCGGTGCGCTCTCAGAGCAAATACCGAAAGAGTGCTGTGGCTAGAACACGAAATAAGGATGAGGCCCACAGACCTTGAGCCAACATGTCTGTGTTCATGTGCAGCTGTAGCCGCTGGCACGCGGCTCAGCCACTGTCTGCGCTGTACAAGTTGTTGAAACACTCATGGACTCAGCGACTAGCCACGGCCACACACCAACACACAACTCAGCAATCTTGCACTGCTTGTCAACACGGAATGCTTAGTGTGTACTTCGGTTGCTGCTTGGTCGAAGATACACTGAAGCAACAACGAGATCTTGATCAGATATCCACCTACGTGCCGCAAGACATCGACTAGAGTGCCCTCAGATCTTCAACAGCCCTCCATTCCCCCAATGAGTTTTTACACTCACTAAGTCAGGGCCCGTGTTCTCTGAGGAACTGCCCCGTGGGGCGCAGTCGGCCGTTCTGGGTCGGTGTCCTGAGGTCGGTGCCCCACACGCGGCGCCCTACAACCCTTTGCGGGACGTAGTCGGCCGCTCCTGGTCGGTGCCCCCTGGTCGGTGTCCCTCCCAAAACTCCGACGCCTTGATTTTTGTTCGCATCGTCGACCCCCAGAGGTCTAGACCCTTCCCAGGGGCATATTTCTAACCCCAGGTCGTTTTTTTGACGGCCCCGAACCCAGCGAAGGCCGCCCGAGGCCGAAAACTGCCGAAACCTCCCATTAGTATGGTGGGGGCATTGGATAAGGAAACCTCCGATAAGGAATCCAGGGTCTGGAAGCCAGTGGAACTCCAATCGCGGATTGGCACTGGAAATCACCGCCGCCCTCATCAGACAAGAAACCCTCCAGGGTCTGAAGCCTCCTAGGCACGCTCCTCAACGAACGCTCCCACCGTGTGTGTTGTCGCAACGCCCGCAGGTGCTTCGGTTTGGGCCCCGCGCGACCCCACAGTGCCGCGCGCCAAAGGTCACGCAAGCGAGGGGTCACTCCCTGCGTGCAGCCGGCCCTGTGCCTGCTCTGCCTGCCGCGGCTGGCCGTCTCCCAGGTCTCAGGGAAGGCCAAAGAAAGAGCCACTTCCACCAGAACTGCATAGAACATCATCTGCGAGGCGGGGATTTACACGTCGTTCATTTCTAATCGTGCTCATTTCTAATCGTGCTCGCTTCTAATTGTTCCTGGCCCCCTGGGGGCCAGGAAGAGGCCCAGAATAGAACAATTAGAAATGAACGGATCTTGGCCCCCGAAAAAATCAAAACTCTCTCGAATAATTAGAACTGAACCATGTGTATCCATATTCACCGCCTGGGGAACTGACGTCCTGGTGCCCCAGCGGGCGGTGGATATGGATAAGTTTTAGCCTCCGGGGGCCCGAATATACCCATATCCGCCGCCTGCCGAGGTCCCCGAAAATTGATCCTCCAGGCGGTGGTCATGTATAAATTTGCCACCTCGGATCATCGAACTCCGTTCCGAAAGACCGCTCCCCCGAGCTGGTGGCACTCCGCTCTCCGGGCACTCTTCGGGGGCGCACCTGGCACGGGGGGGGCCGCCCGCTCGTGGGGGGGGGGAGCGGCCCCCCCCCCCCACCCACGCTGGCGGTGGTGGTGGTTCTTCCTTCTCTTGGTGGGCCTGTTTTCTACCACCACCACCATATCATTGTGCGAGTGCGTGTGAGGTGAATGGCGGCTGTGAAGACATGGTGTGGTGATGATTGGTGATTGGGGTGCGGTGATGTTGACGATGGTGATGGCGAGTACGAGAGCATTGTGGGTGATGTTGTGTGAGAGAACATGGCATATGCGATGCTGATGGTGGTGGTGATTAATGTCGAGTGACAACAGTGATGGTGAAGATGATGATGCTGCTGATCATGATGATGAGTGTGTGAGTGCGGGTGATGATAAACATGATGGAGATGACGATGAAAATGTTGATGACGATTATGGTGATGCTGATACCGCGGTGTTGATGAGGACGACGACGACGATGATGATGATGATGGTGGTGATGATGGTGATGGTGGTGGTGAGGAAGAGATGGGGGAGAGGAGATCCTGGGCGGGGGGGGTGCAGAGAAAACAATAATCCCACTTGGAATGTGGGGATCGAGACCGCACTTTGGATGTGGGTCAACTAGATACAGCGGGTCTGGAGTGCGGGCCGTCGGGTGGGCCACAGGGAGGTCCCAAAATTGAGCATTCGACGAGGACGACGACGACGACGACGACAACGACGACGACGCTGCACAGGACAAGCTCGGCGTCGGCATCCGAATGCGAGCGCACTGGGCCACGGGCGACCCGCATCTGCGGCGGGCGCCCGCGCGCCAGATAGCCGCGGCGTCGCGGAGCGGCGATGCCGCTCGCCAGGGGGTGGCAGTGACGCCGACGGCGGTCAGGAACCTGTGCGACGCGTGTCGCGGCGGCGGCCCCGCCGACGGGCTGTGCCCTGCAAGCGTCTAGGGGGGGAGGAGGGGGAAGGAGGAGCACAAGTAGGAAGAGGAGGAGGAGGAGGAGGAGGAGATGGAGGAGGAGGAGGAAGAGGAGGATGAGGAGGAGGGGGAGGAGAAGGAGGAGGAGGAGGGGGAGGAGGAAGAGGAGGAGGAGGAGGAACAGGGGAGGAGGAGGAGGAGGAGGAGGAGGAGGAGGAGGAGGAGGAGGAGGAGGACAGGAGGAGGAGGAGGAGGAGGAGGAGGAGGACGAGGAGGAGGAGAGGCCCCAGGCACGAGTGGCCTTTGGGTGCGCGGCTCGCCGATCGTGGCGCGCGATGGTCGACGAGGCGGCGGCCGCGGCCTGCGCGCCTGGGCTTTTTGGGCCCCCGCGCGCCCAGCCGAGGGGCGCGCAGCAGAGGCCACGCTGGAGGCGTCACCCTGGCGGCGCGCACAGGGGGGGGGGTATGGGGGGATGACGATTTATAAAAAAATGGAAGAGAACGATTTGAAAAAATAGTTTTCTGCTATTTCTGCACAAGTTTCTGACCGGAGGAGAACGATTAAAAAAAACATAGTTTTCCAGCCCGCGGCCGGTTTTTTCTAATCGTCATCCCGGGCGCCGCCGCGTGAACACGACTCCTGGTCATTTATTAATCGTCATCCTCCATTATGGGGGCGGGGGGAGGGCTTCTTCGAAGGAGGCTGCTTCTGAGTAGGCGCCGGCCCTGCGTCTTCAGAGAGAAGGCCCGCGCCCCACCAAGAAGCAGGGGTGCTTCGAGGAAGCCTCCCCCCCTCCCCCCAGCCCCCTCGGCGCGTGGCTGATCACTCTCGCGTAGAGCCGATGTGCGGTCGGACCTAGGACGTAAAAACATCCTTCAAGAACACGAGACCCTCCACCGGCCAAACCGAAGGACACTCGAGGGCACCTTCACCCAGGATGCACAAGAGCATCTATCAGACACGAAGAACATGAGGGTACCCTCCCCGAGCCGACCTCGATCTTATGCCTAGGCCCGACCGCAAGCGGACAGCGTGTCGCTCGGCGCCGCGGGGCGGGAGGCCGGGGAGAGCTCGTGACATCGATGGCTTGGGGGCTGGGACGTACTCAGTGTATGGCGCGGAGACGTGATGGGCCAGAACTGGCGGCGCGAAACGCTTAGCAAGAGTTACTGACCGTGTGCACCACCACCGCTCCGGAAGAAGATCTGATTCGAATTCCACCAGGAGCGCCCGGTGGGGGGGGGGTCGGGAGCAGCCCCAGATCGGGCCCCGCTGAGGACCAACACCGCAGGCGAAGCGGGCCAGAACACCTCGCGCCCAGGGCACGCTCTGCGGACAAACCCCCCTTGGACAAGGCTCCCCAGGGTCTTCCTGCAAGGTGTCGCAGGTCCCTCGGTTCCCGCTTGCCCCACAGGTCGTGCAGGCCGCACAGCTCCCGCAAGGCCCCACGGGCTCCTCCCGCCCCACGGGGGGCCCACTGGTCGCACGGGGCCCGCAGGCCCCACGGGTCTCGCAGGCTCCCGCAGCAGGCCCCACGGCTCCAGCAGGCGCAGGTCGGTGGGCCACCGCAGGGAACGCACAACGTGTATATATATATATATACACACAAGGCTGCATAGGCGCTTCGCGCCATGAATCTTGTTCCTTGAAGCTTTGGATCGGCTGGCTTCTCGCGGTATCCTGCGGTCCCTTCGAGGGGTCCTCGCGGGCTCGCATTGCGAATGTGCAGAGGTTGCGGAGGGGGAGTGGGAGAACTTGGTGTTCGAAGCAACGAAAGGGGCAAATGGAATGCAAGAAAAGGACTTCAGAGGGAAACTTATGGAATCCCGGGTTCGCAACCAAATTTCTTAAAAAAGGGTGCGAACCCAGGATTCTGACCAGAATGCAGCTTTATACTGCAAAATATGAGGCAGGGGGGGCGCGGGGAGGCGTGCTGACGCGACTTTGGGACAGGCAGGCTCTACGAACGTTATGTATGGGCTTCGTTCTCACCTTCCTCTTTGGACGGAGAGCGCTAATTTTCGCGCTCGGAGGCTGCGATCCTCGTGAGGGGTCCCGTTTCCGGAAGTCCCGGTTGGGGAGGATCCTATTTCGGGGGGGGGGGTCCCACCCCCCAGGATTATAAAGGCCTTCTTCGGAGAACTCGTGGAGGTTCTTAGAGGCCTTGTGGGGCGTCGTGGGGGAACTTCGTGAATGCTTCTTGGCGGCTCTTGGGCGCCTCGTGGCACGTCTGGGGAGCCGTTGAGGAGTCTTGGAGCTTCGTGTGGGCGTCTGGGTGCAGAGTCCTTGAAATCATAAGCCTTTTGCGCGCCTTGTGGCCCTTCTTGTGGCCTCCTGGAAGGGGCTTGGGGCCTCGCGTGGCCGTGTGGGAGCCGAGCGCGTTGCAATTGTATGTTTTTTCCCTTTTAAGCTCTCTCTGAAGCTTGTCTTGGGGCTCTCTGGGGCCGTCTTGGGCACGGCTTGGGCCGTCTGGAGGCTCTGTTGGGCCGGCTGTGGACTCGCTTGGAGGCTGCTTGGGCCCTCTGGGATTGGTCTTGTGGGCGTCTTCGGCCGTCTTGGCACGTCGGAACAGTGAACATGCAACGAAGCCAAAATCTTAGGAAAGCCATCGGAAATTAATGATTTTGATCTCTTGGGGCCTTCTTCAGAGAACTCTGCGAGGTTCGTGGGGCCTTCTCAAGCTGTCGGGGGAACCTTTAAGAAGCTTTTAAGGCAACCCGAGGACCCTCGCGTACCCTCGTAGGTGCCTCTTCGGACGAAGATCGCTCAGTTTCGC